CGATTGGACCGACTCTGCTTGTAGCTTGCTGTGTGAAAATGATATCCATTCACGTCATAACCAGTAAATGACTTGACCCTAATGGCACAGCCGTTTGCAACCTGTCTCAGCTCGTCACTTATAGACGCATCAGTTTGGGCTTTCTGTTTGAACCAACAAATGAAATCGGGGCTCCCTGGTCCCACACCCCATGAAAGAAGGGTATCATTTTCTTGCGGGGTAGGTTGCCTTGATCCATGCCAGGATTGACGAAGAAATTCCTAGTACTAACGAGAAACAAGGGGGTTGGACGAAGAAACAAGGACATACGGTGAAATGAAACAAGTTCGCTCAGAACTTACCCAATGAACAGTTGCACCTCGACAAGGTTGGTCAACACATATAGCATGATACTGCGCCACTCTTCATTTTTCAATTGCTTAGTGGTCGATGCACTTGCGCTTTCGAGTTGCCCTTGGAAAAGGCTGAGGTTCGATTCATTTTTGCCAGCATTGTAACAAGGGGGTGGATTATAAACGCTAGGAAGTTTCTCAGTGTAGTATTTCTCTGTGAAGTTCGACACCTCCTCTAGAATGTATGCCTATGCAATGGAAGCCTCAATTTTGGCTTTATTTCTATATTTTTTGCGAAGAGTCTTCAGACATCTCTCGATTGGACAGCACCAACGGTTCTGCATGGGCCCCCCCATCCGTGCCTCATATGGGAGGTGCACAATCAAATGCTGCATCGGTAAGAAGAAGTCGGGTGGAAAGATCTTCTCCAACTTACAGAGCAACATGGGTGCTGCTTTTTCTAAGTCATCAATGACAGTCCGAGAGAGCTCCCTGGCACAAAGCTGGCGGAATAAGTAGCTCAACTCTGCCAGCACTTGCCAAACATGCTCCGAGACATAGCCTCGAACCATCGCCGGAAGAAGCCGCTCAATCCATATGTGGTAGTCATAACTCTTCATCCCGTTTACTCGCAGAGTGCCTAAGTTCACTCCCCTCTTTAGATTTGCTGCATACCCATCAGGGAACATTAGCGCCTTGATCCATTCAAGTACTTCCCTCCTTTGGTCCTTTTTCAAGACGAAATCGGCCTTAGGCCTTCTCTAGGTCTTACCACGACTAGGAGGCTGCATCTCTTGATTTGGTCTATCGCACAACGTTGCTAGGTCCACTCTAGCCTTAGGGTTGTCCTTAGACTTTTTAGTGTCCATGAGTGTTGCCCAAAGTGCCTCGGCAATATTCTTTTCAGTGTGCATTACATCAATGTTATGTGGCAGAAGAAGGTATTCGAAATAGGGGAGCCTCGTCATGCCCGAGATATGAGTCCACATATGTTGCTCACCATATCCCACAAAACCACCTTCTTCATTGGGCACGAGAGCATCTATCTGAGCATGAACCTCGGCACCAGTCATCATCCATGGTGCAGGGTTTGTCACTTTGACACCTTTCGTAAAGTTCTTGATGTCTTGTCTGAATGGATGGTCAAGAGGTAGGAATTAACGATGTCTGTCGAACGACGAATACTTGCCACCCTTCTACAACCAAATGAACCTCACACCTTCCTTGCATATTGGGCATGGAAACTTCCCGTGAACACACCAGGCGCAGAATATCCCATACGCCAGGAAGTCATGCAGGGAGTAGTGGTACCAAACGTGCATTTTGAAGGTTGTCTTTGTAGCTCGATCGTATGTCCATACCCCTTCATCCCAAGCATAGACCAATTCATCAAACATGGGCTCCATGAACACACCCATATTACTCTCTGGGTGTCCAGGAATTATCAACGACAAAAATACGTTATGTCGTTGAAAGGAGACACCGGGGGGGAGATTAAGGGGGATAACAAAGACGGGCCAACATGTGTATAGGGCAGCCATCATCATTCCATAAGGATTGAACCCATCTGTTGCCAGCGCGACACGTACATTACGAGCCTCATCTGCTTTATCACGATGTTTGTCATTAAAGCGGATCCAAGCTTCACCATCGGATGGATGTACCATCTTGTTAGGATTGTACCGTTTGCCATTTTTGTGCCATGTCATCTGTTTCGCGGATTCCTCGGTCATGTATAGCCGTTGGATCCTCGGTAGGAACAGAAGGTACCGTAGGATTTTCACGGGGATCGTAAGTTGCCTCTTCTGGCCATCATCAGAGTCAACCTCCAGGTACCTAGAGGATTTACACTTTGGACAGAACTTTGCATGCTCGTGTTCTTTCCTAAATAGGACACACCCCTTCAGACAAGCATGTATCTGCTCATACGGCATCTTAAGTGCACGAAGGAGTTTCTGTGACTCATACATGCTCTTTAGCAGAATGTGGCCCTCCGGAAGCAGGGTGCCAATCACGTCCAACATCTTATCGAAGCCAGGTCGACTCAAGTTTAACTCGGACTTCAACCCCATTAAGCGTCCAATGAAATCTAGTTGAGACACCATTGACCGATCGTGAAGGGGTTTCTGTGCCGAGTCCATCATGTCGTAGAACGCCTGTGCGGCTGCCTCCATCTCCTCCTTCTCACGTCCCTCATCGAACTATCCTTGGTGAAAGTCATCTAACATGTCTGCTACCCTGGCATCAGCATCAAAAGCCTCCACCTGTGGTCTCACCACCTCCTCTCTCACACGATGGGCTTCACCATGGTGGATCCACCGGGTGTAGTCCAGCGTGAATCCATTCTTCACAAAATGTTTACCCATTTCCACCTTGTTTACCCTTCTCCTGTTTCCACATTTGCTGCAGGGACACAAAACTAGGCAATGTCCTTTAGTAGCCTTGCCAAATGCACTGTTCAAGAAAGCATCGGTCTTGTTCATCCATTCCGTGGTGTAATCACTCTGACTTCTCTAGCCCGTGTACATCCACTGACGGTCATCCATCCTCTAACATATGTATCAGCGAGTAATGTAACCATCAATTGCATCTACATGGTGTTCCTACTGTCTAATAGGTGAGGATATGTCATAATCCCACTCGCGGATGCGTAGATGAGGTTAGTTTCCATGCTCTACTCCGGTCCGAGACAGAATTTTGGCAGCACGTCCCCGCTGTTCTCCAGATACACGTCCTGCCAAAGAAGAGTGCGTATCCAGAGAACAACAGGAGGTGATGCTGAAACTCTATCTCGGACCGGAGCAGACTATGGAAACTAACCCATCTACGCATCCGCGGGCTGTCCAAAAAATGTGGATAATCCGAAACAGATACGATCATAGATATGCAAAGATCTGCATACCTCCAACCGTATCTCTTTCGAACGGGAGACGCCAAACTGGGTTACGCGATCTATGACCATGATACGGAAAGAGGGGTTATACCTATGGTGGCGGCGGAGTTAGGCTAGCGGGGCCGTGGCGGGTCGGTTGAGTGGCGAGGCGACGTGGTGCAGGCAGATCGGCACGGCGACGGGAACTCAAACTCGGCTCCGACGGGCTCTTCTCTACAAAAATGGAACAAAATACTGTCATTTAAAAAGAAATTTGGCAGAACCTCCCCTACACGGTGAGGTTTTCAAAACCTGCAAAAAACAGTGGCACGATGCCCAACAAGCACATATGTCTCAAGAGAAGCCATGTAGTTTGGATATCAATCCATGCAGAAGAATATATCCAAGTAGTACCACTACTTCTACTACTACTTCCACTATTGCTACTACTACTACCACTAGTTTCTACTACTACTACTACCACTATTGCTACAACTACTACCACTAGTTCTACTACTACTACTACCACTACTTCTACTACTACTACCACTAATTCTACTACTACTACCACTACTACCACTACTTCTAATACTACAACTACCACTAGCACTACTAGTACAACTAATACTACTACAACTATCACTACCACGACAAGAGAGGCAGCATACCGATGGGATGGGCGGGGTAGGGGCGGCGTCGGGTCGGGTCGGGTCGCCGGAGTTGGGAAGGGGTCGAACAGGCAGGGCAGGCCAGGCGGTCCAAGGGCGTGGTCGGGCAGGGTCGGTGCGCCAGGGGCGCGACCGAGGGCAGGGCGTGGCGGAGCGAAGGTGGCGTGTCGGGGTGTGGCGCTGGGCGTGAGCGCGAGCTGCACGGGCTGCGTGGCACGGCGCTGACGGGTGGGCTGGCACTGGAAGGCGGGCGGCGGGCGGCGTGGCGCGGTGGCTGGTAGGCGGTGGTGGGTGGGTGGGGTAAATCCTTGGCTGGCGGGCAGGCGGTGGCGGTGTGGGCGAGGCGGGGCGTGCGTGCAATCTGGGGTGCGTGGCTGGCCTAGGGTTTAAATCCCCCCTTTGCCGAGTGCCCCCGATCTGGCACTCGGCAAAGGTTTTTTTTTAAAAAAATGCTTTGCCGAGTGTCCCAGATCCGGCACTTGGCAAAAAATTTTTTTAGAAAATACTTTGCCGAGTGTCCCTGACACGGCGCTTGGCAAAGAATTTTTTTTCGAAATATCATTGCCGAGTGCCCCTGTGAAGGTACTCGGCAAAGAGGATTTTTTTTAAAAAAAAAATTCAAAACCCTCTTTGCCGAGTGCATTATTCTTGGCACTCGGCAAAGACCCCCTTTGCCAAGTGCCACGCCCCGGCACTCGGCAAAGATTTTTTTTTTGCCTTCAAATTTTTTGTGCAGCCCTTTTAAGGTACCAGGAACTCCTATTTATAATTTGAGGATTTTTGTGGCTTTTTGATATATTTAGTTACTTTATTTCGTTTACTTGAATTTTTTCGAAAAATATAAATTTGAACTGCACATGGTACGAATAATAGAATTTAATGATTCAAAAATGATAGTCATGTTACTGAGTATAGTGTGAGGCCGTATCCAGGAACGGACCCGAAATTTCGAACATCTTGTTCACGAAACATGACCGCGAACTTGCGGGCGAAATGTTTTTAAATTCTATAAAAAGGAAACGAAGTCCGAAAATCATGAAACTTGTTGAGATGTCGTGATATCGCATGTGGAGGCTATGATAAAAATTTGAGAAGGTTTAGTTCACGTTGTCACGTTGCCACTTCATCATGGACATTGCCATCAAGGAGTGTGCACATGTCTTCCAAGGGATAAGCTCCCTGGTCGACATCGGTGGAGGGCTCGGCGCGGCTGCGCAGGCTATCTCAGCGGCCTTCCCGAGTGTGAAATGCAGCGTGCTAGAGCTCGACCACGTCGTCAGCAAGGCTCCCAGTGACACTCAAGTGCACTACATAGGTGGCGACATGTTTGAGTCTGTACCACCGGCAAATGCCATGTTCCTGAAGGTAAGCCATCTCCTGTTGCATTGTTTGTACGTTGTACTTGTAGCTGGAAGTATTTCTGCAGTTCCAATTTATAAGCTGTTTTGGCTTTTCTAGACTTAGCGGTTTATAATTTGGAATACAGGAAATATTTTAATATATTAGTCGCCGGTTGAAAATTTCTAAGAAACTAGGGAGCTTACCTTGGTGGGTGCGAATCTTTTCTTCTTGAGAGATGAATACAATCCATTGCATTCTTGAGAGCTGAATGCAATCCATTGGAAGAATATCGAACCAGATGTTTTTTAAAGTAATATATTGATAATGATACTACTTTCCAAGCTAAGGCACATGCGTATGCATATCTAGTCACACCATTTTTCTTATATAAAGTAATTTCATGTGTCAGAAACTTACGATTAAGATTTAAATGGTTGTAGTGCATATATATTCCTAACTGGAGGAAGCAGCTAACCTATCATTATTTTTTTATATACAAAAGAAACCATTTGCTTTTAAATAAGCTGTCAGAGTGGTACCCTTAGCTTTCTTGGTGATTGAATTAATCCGTGTGCATGTAAAAATTAAGTGCCAAAATCCTCAAAATCTTACCTAACCCGGCCATGCGGAAGGAGTCGAGATTTGATCAATGCTTACTAATACATATATTTGATCAATGTTTCTTTTCTGACACTCAATAAAAAACATATATTTGTTACGTTTCAGTGGGTTCTGCATGACTGGGGCCACGAGGAGTGTGTCAAGATACTGAAAAACTGCAGGAAGGCTGTTCCTCCAAGAGAAGAAGGGGGGAAGGTGATAATCATAGATATTGTGGTTGGGGCAGGACAATCGGACTCGAGGCACAAAGAGATGCAAGCCTTGTTCGACCTATATATCATGGTCGTCAATGGCATGGAGCGAGATGAGCAGGAGTGGAAGAAAATCTTCTTGGAAGCTGGATTCAGCGACTACAAAATAACACCAGTTCAAGGTGTCCGATCGATCATCGAGGTTTACCCTTGAACAAAACGTCTGATATGATGATCACAATTCACAAGTGGTTCAGTTGGCTGTTGGCGTGCATGATGTTCGTGTGGATTTGTATCCCAACTAAATGTGTGGTACTCCATATTATTATTTTTTATTTCTGATTTCTAAAGACCATTGTGTTCGATATATCAAGGCACATGTCGTACTTGTTTTTCTTGGTTTGATTCAACCCGTTGTGTGCTATATATCTTCCATTGTCTACTGGTACTTCTGCTCTCTGCAATCGCCACCTATGTATGTGCTATCTTGCAGCCCGAATGCAATGGAACAGAGCATGATCATAGTCACTCTGTTAGTTGTTTCCACCAGCAAAACAAGAAGGTTACAACTTACAAGGGTATTTACACTTCAGTGAGCTCGTCGGTCTGTTGGCTTAACAACGACGGTTCTAGTTGTTCCCTCAATCCAGGTCTACACCTTAGCGTACCCCTTAGGGCTCGTTCGGTTATGCTGGATTGAGGTTAGGAACCATTCCGTCTAATCAATTTTTATACAAATTAGCCAAATATTCCAGTTGAGAATCGTTCCATGGAATGATCTCCAGACAAATGAACGAGCCCTTAGGAGGCACATGCCCTCATTGTATGTTTCCGGAACTTCGTTGCCAAATTAGGAATGAAAACATCATGATAATTTCCAAATGTAGCGGAAATGTACAAAGTGGGGAATCTAAACTAGAAGTTTAGGATGCTGATAGTAGTGCAACTTCCTCGTCTTCGCCATGCGATTAGATTATCACATATTTTATTTTTGTAAATACTATGTAGGTGCTAGATGAAAATGTAATGATATGCAATGGAATAAGTTTAAATTGGTTACCTCAAAATGCAGTACCAGAATAGAACATGTTTCACATTCGAGGCAGCTAGCACCCGGCCGCAGGACACGTCCGGACGCTCCTCCCAGTCCCAGTCCGCGCATACGAGGGATTTGCTCACACAGGCACAGACCACCCCGCGCTGCTCCGTTTCCCATTCCACTAACGCTGCTCCATTTCCCGTGCCACGCTGGCTCCGCTTTCGCGCGTACGTAGGGCCCGCCCACGCTTGCTCAATTTCGCGCACGCAGCAATCCACGCGCCTGCCTGTGGATGCGCGCGAGAGATGCATCACGGTGACCCACACGGTGCCCCAGTGGCAGGTGGGTCCCATTGCAACATGTGCAACACTAGATCTATTTTTGCAACATCCAGATAAAACACTTGCAACATATGTTCGAAATAGCTGAAACACCTAAAACATGCGTTTAAAACACTTGCAAAACACTTGAAAAGCTATTTCAAGTATATGCAACATACAAATGAAACACTTACAACATACGTATGAAACACTTAAAACATATGCTTGCAACATGCATGTTATGCAACATCTCAATCTACTTCTGCAACATCCAGATGAAACACTTGAAACATACGTTTAAAACACCTGAAACATTTGCTTGTAACATGAAACATACGTTTGCAACATGCATATATAGCCATTGCAACATTCACAACATCCAAATGAAACACTTGAAAACATACGTCTGAAACACTTGAAACACGATATCGTCGGCAGCCATGGCCTACCTGGTGGGGAACTGTGGTAGCCAGCAAGCGGCGCTCGGGTGGAGAGGGAGGATGGTGGCAGCCGGGCAGCTAGGTGCGATGGAGAATGCCGCGCCAGAGGAGTCACTGTGGACCACACCACATCGGCGTGGAGAACTCAGTGGCAGGAGTGGGAGCGCCACTAGGTGAGCAGAGACGGTGGTGGCAGGAGCGGGAGCGCCACACGCAAACGACGTGGCCGCGGGTCCAGGAGCCGTGGCACGAACTACGTCGTGGTCGAACCGATCAGCATGGAAGCCATCGACAGTGACGAGCTCGATCGAGGTGCATCGAGTGGAGCTCAAATGCGTACAACCATGGGTGGGGGCGGAGCGGAGCTCACTCAGCCACACCAGCTGCGAAAGCAGCCACAGCTCGCCGCGCGGGAAGCCAAGAAATCGCTCAGCGGCGACGAACGACGGTGTGTATGCCTTAGCCATCAGCGGCACCGTACAACGAGGGTTGGCCATAGTGCAAAAGTGAGATGAGAGGATATGGTAGGAGAGAAATAATAAAGTAAGTCTGAAGGCATTTAAGCTTGCTTGTGAAAGCCTTACTTGTGGGTTGATGCATCCGAACGCACGAACACAAGCATTATTGTTTCTGGTTTAGGGGAACCTTGTTCCAATTATACTCGATAGACCTTAGATTTTTTACAGGATCAATACAAAAAAAATAGGTATAGGTATACTCTCTTCGTACCATATGTTTTAAAAGTTGATCCCAATGTTTCGAGAACTTGCATTGGCTGCTAAGGTCTACCATGAACGTGGTGAGTTACCCTCTTTAATGAGATACATGCAATGCACATATTTGAAAAAAAAAACGTGGTGAGTTGGTACCACAAGTACGTGGCTTATTTGCTGCCATGATTTTCAGTTTTTCACGTGGATCTTTAATCCAAAATAAAGTTCGGCAGTTGTAGGCTTATCAGTGGTGGCCAGATAAGTCTGCAGGCTTTTCAGTGCTGGCCAATCATATCTCCGTGTCAGGATTTTCTTAAATGTCTGTCGGCTTAATAACACTGGATGAGAAATTGCGGGTCCCGATAGTGACTTCTTCTGTAGCAAAGATCCAGTACATGATACGGTGAGATCTATCTGTGGAAAAAAAAAATATATCCTCCTAAAAAGATACGGCCCGTGACATTTTTTTCTCGACAAAACCAGAATTATATTAGATAATAGCAAGCTACATCAACACGTTATAAGCACTCTGGATTACACAAATATCCATAAACTGATTTTCATCTAAATTATACCCACGCTGTGAATAGCTCCAGATCTCAAAACCAAACATGTACGACACTTTGCAGTATGGATGACCACACAGGTAAAGACTCGGCAAAAGGCCTGAGAACAGATGCCCAACGAACGACGGTCAACATTCATGTAGGCGGAATTGAGAAACTTCTTCTTTCTGCCACCAAAGAACGAGGAAGACTGATCTAAAATTTATATTCCCTAGTCCTTTATCGTGGCCAGATCTAACCACAATAAAACGGAGAAGAGACCAGAGAAAATTATTCCATGGCGGGCGACACCATCTCCGCCTTGACGTCGTCGTCCGAAAATAAAAGTCTCCATGTCGTCATACCGGTGAGGATGCTGATGCCGTAGTTGTCGCCCCATCTTCAACAGAGCTGCCATGGAGAAAACGGTTCCACCCTGCCCTCTCGCCGTCGCCGGAGAGGGGGAGATAAATCCCCAAAACCAAGAAACTTGGCATAGAGAGACCATAAGCCTAAGGACTCGATCTACTAAAAAACTTATTAAAAACGGTGGAGGCGGAGAGCGGCGGCGGCGGCGCTACACTCACGAGTCACGTGGGGAGTTACGAGAGCAAATCGATCTGCATCGTGTTGGAGGATAGGATCATAGGAGTACTTGTAACTACTTATGGCACATAAGTAATTTCATGGCTGCAAGGAGTACTTTGTAACTACTTATGGCATAGAAGTAATTATGTGGCTGAAAGTGATTCTCTTTGATTTTTTAGGTTAAACTCTTAAAATCGTAATAGAGAATCACTCTGTAGATGTTTTTTTGAAAGTCAGGGGGGATGCCCACCTGAATATGCATTAATTTTGCTCAGAGCCGAAAGGAGAATCACTTTGTAGAATTAGGAGATGCTACTTTTTTTAGCTCTTAGTCTCTTAATTTATTGCAGAGAATCACTTTACAATATCAACAGAGAATTACGACCTGTAATCTCATTTGGCAGAACTCTCAAAGGTGATTCTCTGCTAAATCCAGCGGGAACTCTGCAAACAGTTTTTCAGAGAGGAGTGATTCTCTGAAGTATATCTACAAAAGCCAAAACGTCAAATAATTTGAAAAGGAGGGAGTAAGTACTGTTAGATAATTATAGAATACATGGTATTCACGTGAGTGATGGGTTCTCGCGTCCACTTGATTCCCTTGTCCGCACGTTAACAGGTGCTCAGTGCTCAGCTCCGACACAATCGCCATCGCTGCTAGAGGAACCGCGGCGGGCCAACGCGTTTAACACATGCAAATAATGTTTCTATATTAGTAGTTAAATTAAAAGAAAGGAGTTAATACTCTGTGATTAAACCAAAGTGCACATCGCATGTTCACTTCATCTGTTCGTTGTACACTGCACGCGCGTCTATATATATAGAGAGAGTTCTAACCCTCAATTCCACACAAATCAATTCAGTACACGGAGCGCAGTAGCACAACAGCACCATGGCGCTCAAGCCTTGCTTGACGCTCAGCTAGTGACGTGACCACGCCAGCGTCGGGGACCTCTCCGACCACTTCACCAACCTCGGCGACCTCTCCGACCACCTCGGCGACCTCGACAACCTCTTCGACCACCTCACCAGCTGATACACCACTCCAAGTCCTTACTAGACCCATCACCCGTGGCCGCGCCAAAAAGATACAACAAGAGGTGCACGCGCTACTTTGTGAATTTCAATTAAACATTGATGGTAATTTCGAGCTACCTCAGTCGTGCATGTTGTTATTACTCAGGTTCTCCGAGGAGGAAGACTGTTCTGAAGCTCAACAGTCTGCATGAAGCTAAAGATCCCGTGCAAAACTGTACCATTCTACAATAATTCATGCTGCATAGCATATATGGTTTGGAAGATGATGAAGTTAGCTTTCCCACGCATCCAACGGTTCGTCATTTGGATTTTTCAGGAAGGAGTTATGACCAAAATATTGAAAACTGCACAGAAGCCCAGAAGACACGCGGGAACTAAAGACCACCTTGTGAATGCTCTAGCCAGTTGTCCTTCCACCTTCCAACGTGACTTCTTCAGTTCACATCTATCTTAGAGACTTCTCATAGTATAAATACCACTTCTAGGCTACTAGAAAAGGACTTTTGATGATTTGATAATTCCAGTGACATT